TTGCTGTACAGTGGTGAAGAAAAATGAGGTGACAGCTAGAGATAATGCAAGATTAAGAGAGAGCTTTTAAAAGTCAGTGTTGTTGCAGAATATTGGTATAAGAAAAGCCAGTAGAGAAGGGGAATTATGATACAGAAGAGAGAGCCATTGCAGGAGCAGAGTTTTCGCGTCAGTATAGGGGTGTGGCCTAATGGACAGGTGGAGTGGTTTGATCGTAAATCACTTCCATCTGAAGACCGTCTCATCAGAAACTTGAGCAGTTCCCCCACTGCCTCCTTTGTAGAACACCAGAGGTCTGTCCTTATGTTCTAATCATAGCCTACCGTTCACCTAAGTGAATACTCGTCTAACTTAAATCCATCTCTCTGTGTTTGTACACACATGTAGCATTCCTCTCCTTTGTGTACTGTTGAGTAAGGAACAGTATGCACATTCAGTAGAAACTGTACTTCTAGTACCCATGCAGCCATTGTTTTTCACTTTCAGTGCAGTATCCAATCAATTATATTAGATGGTCAACACTTTGCTATAAAATAGGCTTTCTGGTAGATGATCTTGCCCCAAGTGTTGGCTAATGTAAATGTCATGAGCACACCTGGGCTAAGCTAAGCTATGATGTTCAGTAGGTTAGGTGTATTAATTTAATTTAATTTTTTTTTGAGTTGGATTCTCACTCCATTGCCCAGGTTGAAGTGCCGTGGCACGCTCACTGCCACCCCAGAGTTGACCTGCTGGGCTCTGGTGATCCTTCCACCTCAGCCTTCCAAGTAACTGGAACTACAGGTGCGTACTACCACACCTGGCTAATTTTTTTTTAAATTTATTGTAGAGACGAGGTCACGCCAAATTACCCGGGCTGGTCTTGAACCCTCAAGCTCAGGCAATCCACTCGCCTCGTCCTCCCAAAGTGCTGAGGTTACAGACTGAGCCACTGAGCCTGGCCAAATGTATTTTTGCCTTACGATATTTCCAACTTATGAGGGGTTTATTGGGCCGCACTCCATTGTAAGTTGAGGACCATCTGTACCTTGGTGAGGCATAGTATTGGCCAGGTCTGGAATATCAGAATACTTCTGGCATCCTGTTGGAGAGAAGATAGTCACATGGCCACATCTAATGGCAAGAGAGACTGGGAAGTGTATTGTTGCAGGGCATATAGCTACTGTATTACTATGCAAGCAATAGAATAGGTTTGGGTGGACAGCTAGCAAGCTCTTCCATAGGCATCCTTTATGATGCCAATAGTTCTCTTTAATTATAGTTTAGCTTATAAGGTTTTAAGTAATAAAACATAAAATGTACAAAAGGGTTAAAAAAAAAGGAATTCAAATCTGCCATTAATCCTTTGTTAATGAGATTCTGTCAAATATTCTCCTTCTCCTAGAGCTCAAGGTTAGAATAACGAACCTGTTTTGACTGGCAGCATTCCTACAACCTTCAGATTGAGCGGTTTGTATACTGAGAGAGGTTATTTTTTTTAGTGTCCTCTATTAAGAATTTGTCAGCATTTTACAGTTTTAGAAGACAAATTTGTTTTTGCTCCAAGTGTTTTCAAGTGCTTAAGTAAGTGACCAAATAGGTTTTGAGCCTAGCTTTCAATGCCAGCATAAAGAGGGAGGAAAAAAAGAATTAAAAATAAATTCCACAGCCTAAAGCTAACTTTATCAAGTCTTTTGCTCTTTTAGACTTGAGGTTTTTTTTTTTGGTTTTTTTTTTTTGAGTTGGAGTCTCACTCTGTCGCCCAGACTGGAGTTCAGTGGCCGCTCCCGGCCACCGCAGCCTCGACCTGCTGGGGTCCGGCGATCCTTCCGCCTCAGCCTTCTGAGTAGCCGGAATTACAGGCGCGCGCTACCACACCCGGATGATTTTTTGATTTATTGTAGAGATGAGGTCTCGCCTGCCCAGGCGGGTCTCGAACCCGCAGGCTCAGTCAATCCACTCACCTCACCCTCCCAAAGGTGCGGGATTATAGGCTGAGCCACCAAGCCCGGCTAGAGGTTATTTTTATAATTAAGGAGAGGGTGATTTTTAAAATTTGGTTCCTCCTGACACCTAAACATTATCAAAATTAATTATGTCATAACAAACCAGTGTTTTGAAAGTCACTGGTAGGACGTTTATGGTCAAAATTTTATGGATTATAAACTAGGCTTTATCGGACTAAAATATTGCAATGCAAGAAGCAATTTTTTTTTTTTTTTAAGATGTGGGATACAATTCGGGGTTAGGTATACAAATGTTGATTATGCAGGTACCCTTGTTGATGAGATGTGCTCCTCCTTCCCTTGGCAGTTTCCCTCAACTGCCCAATTCCTCCCCCTCTCCCCTGGCAGTTTCCCACTACTGCCAATCCCTTTCTAATTGTTCAAGGTGATCCATTTCTTTATTTTAATCTTTCCTCCCTAAACCTAAACCCTACATAAAGGATGGAAGCTAGAATTCATAAAACATTTGTGCCCGTGAAAATTGGTAGTTTTGTTACTGTGCTTGTAGATCTGTACCACCCTTGTTAGTCAAGTACAAGTACTGGAGTACTTGACCATTGTCTCACATTCTTCAGATGTTCCGTTTCCAAAATGTATAGGTGCAACTCAACTAACTTAGCAAAGGAACACCATGTACTTGCATGCTGCTTTAGTGAAACCAGACAATAAGTATTCAATAGTCTCAAATACGTAGAGAAACAATACAACAGCCGGAATCATTGAAAAACTTTAGAGGCATATTGAATAGCATTGAAATTCAATCTTTGTGAAATTCATCTGTAAATCTTCAGGTCATTGGACAGTCCTTAAATATATGGATCAAATATTTTTAAAGTGAGGGGAGAGAGTTGAAGTTAACACCTGTTTTAGCTCTGGAGTTCAGCTAAGCTTTCTCACATCTCACAACTACCTTTTGCAAAGCTTTCTGTTGTGTGATAGAACAAACATTTTTCTGTCATTCTCAAAACCTATGTCCATTATATTTTGGTTCCTTCTTTTAGGAAGAAAAAAAAATCAGTCTTCTAACATCTTCCTAATGAAGTATCTCTAAATTTATATAATGGTATTATGTTTTATTTTCTGTTTACTCTTATTCTTTCTGAATATTTCTTAGCCTTAATCTGAAAATGTTTATTACTTCCAAAATAGTCATTTACATATATTATGAATGTATCATTTCACTGACACTGTTTTGAAGTGATCTGAAGGGAGAGAATTGTGCTTTTCCTTGGAATTCATGTTTCAGAGCTCTAGGAAAACTTAATACTATTGCACTAGATCTTACACTAAAGATTTTGATAATCTCTTGAAGATCACTAATGGAACAAAGATTCTTTATCATAGATACATCCCTCTTTATCAGGAAGATCACATCCAGGTAATAAGAATAATTATGCTTGGCTTAATAGGAGCCATTTTATAGAGGCTTCTTCTGACTTGAACAGTAGAGGTATAAATACAATTGAATGTTGTAATTTTTTTCCATTTCTCACATCCACTCTAAAATTATCTAAGCATATTAATGATGTTCAGTATTCCAATATCAGATACAAATTCTGTCTTTCAGTTCTTGGGACACTGTCTTAACTGGACAAGTAGCAGTAAAATATTTTCCTTGGAGAATTTATAGCTTAGAAATAATAACATCAACTACTAATAATATTAAATGTACCAGGCATTGTTCTAGTGCTTTCTTTACATGCACTATTTTGTTTAATCCTCACAACAAACCTGTTAATTGCTTCTGCTTTGTTCATTTTCCAGAAGAGGAAATTGAGATTCAGGGATAGTCATACAGTTGACAAATGATGGAACTAGAATCCTTACCCAAGCATTTTGACTCTATGACCACCATTATGTTATGCTATCTCCCTTTGTTTCTGTTCTTTTATGGAGCCCAGGGTGTCAAACTGAGAATTCCAGACAAGTTGGCCAAACCAACATAAGTGGAAAATAATTCACCTATCAACCAAGCCAAAGTTTCATTTTCTGTTCTAATTATATGCATGTTTTGTGGATATTTTCATACATACCAGTTTCATGAGATTATCATGAACCTCAATCAGATTTACTTTGCAAAAGGTTTTTTTACAATAGGAAGATATTAATATGTAGGCAAATGCATGTTGCTTCAATATATGTTCTTTATTTATTCTGTTAACACAGGATGAGTGGATTATGCTTAATATCCTTTAATGAAGATATGAATCACTGAGTTCAGTGAAATTTAGATCCAAATTTCCAAGGCAACTATGTTTTTCAGTCTACTGAACTTCAGTGTTCTCATTTGCTTATTTGTAATCTTCCTTCATGGAGATGGCTTACTTATTCTGTGCTCAGTCACCTGAATTATATTTAGAAAGCATTGGCCATATTCACAGAGACAGTCAAACACCCTACCAGTATACCTCCTCATAAGCACTAAGCCCACTTGGTCAACCTGAAATACATACTATTCAAAGTAAGTCTCCTGTTTTTATTTTTTCCATCTTAGCTTATATAAAGAACAACATTGAATATAACAGAAAGGTTCTTAAATTAGCTCTATTTCTTTTTATGGATATTTAACAATTTAGATATAAGCTATGTATTATCCCAGAACATACTGGCAATATATCCTGAAAAGATATAAATAAATAAGCAGTGAGTGTTCCATTAGTTTCTGATTAGATTCGAGGTTAGATTCCTCAAATCTACTTCTAAGACACCCTGATTCTCTGACAATATGGGTTTTGCTAATGTGGATGATACCCAAAAAAGACATTCTGGGACACATGGCAATTTCTATGATGATGTCAGATACCTTTGTTAAAATGATAATAAAGCTCAATATACTATTTTCCACAAGCAGTATGTAATAAACTGTCATAATTTTACTAGTTTAAACAAAAAAATGTGAAGATTAAATTAATGTAGAGGTATATATTATCTGATTTTCTGGTTTAAAGAAAGGGGGTTTGTTGCTGTATACGTCTTACCATTCCTATCAGGAGACCAATAATTGTTCTGTTACAGGTGATGGAAAGTCTCAGTTCCACACAATCTCATGAAAGGACAGGACCCAATGATGTTGAACAAATGTCTGATGAAAGGTAATTCTAGAACTTTCTCCTCACATTTTTTTCAAGGGTATGAAAAGATTTTTTTTCATATAATGTGATATGTGTTATAGGAACTAAAAAGTATGGGATTAAAGAACTGCATGTTTACCAACAGTATTTATAGCAAGGAAAATGCTTAGAATAGAAAGTCAAAAATTTGCTATAATGCTATTGAAGGCAAACTATAGTCATGTTCATTTGTGTTTTTAGTTCTCTTTTATTTTTATTGTTTTTTATGTTTTGTTTCTGAATTTTGTAAGAACTTGGTTTAGTACTCAACCTACTTTTAAAGTAAATGAAATCATAATATCAATGGATAAAAACATTGTTATAAAACAAATGAATATTTTATGATATTTTGTTTTATTGTTTTTTTATAGTAAAGGAAATGAAAAAGATGGTGGACACGCTCCGCATTTTGAGGTGAGTAGCTAACAAGTAAGAGTAAGTCTGTGACAGATGTGTTCACACTTTCTTGAGTAAACTAGTGAAATATTAGTCTGTCAATGAGGGATAATGAGTTAAGCAATAGGACTGTGATTGGTCAGGAAGGCTCATGCCAAGACCTGCAGATTCCCTGAGAAGTCATAAGAACTACATTATTTTGCTTTGCAAATTATTTTGCTCGTGAAAATAAACTCTAAAATCTTTAGATTTTCTATAAAGTAAGACAAAAAACAAAGCCAAAGCCACTGGTTTGATTTGTCCATGATTTGATGCTTTTTAAAGTGATTGAAATATATAGGTGGTAAGTCTTGGTGAATCTGTCACACAGGTTATCTCATTAATTTTCAAATTAACATAAATTCACTTTGAATTACTTAATCCAATTTGTTTTCTGAGTTTTGTGTCTCATTTTAAGTACACAATGCAGAAAAAAATCTCTGACTCCCTGATGTCATCTGTATCTTTGAGTTTCATTTACTTTCCTGAATTCCCGCTTATCCTCTCAGGGCATCGCCATGCTGACCTAAGACGCCAGCTTTTATGCAGTGTGATGATCCTCATTTTTAATTCATTTTTGTATATTGAATCTACTACCTCCAAATTTTTCCAACTCCACCTTTGATCTTATCAGTTTTGTTTTTGGCAAGAATTACAGCTTTGATTTAAGCTTTAGTCTTAAATTCTGACTCTTGATGTCTTGATTATTATAGAGAACTCTCCCTCTAACCCAATGATTCTTCTTCTTTCTTGGGCACTGACCTAATTTGGTGATGGATTTATCCAATAACATGTATGAAATCCCACGATGTATAGTTACCATGAAAGAAGCTGGGATTTAATAACAGCCACACTCTTGGCCCTCGTGGGAGTTTTACAGTCTAGCAGATTAAGAATTAGAAAACTGTGGACCTTCTTCTTAGAAAATTACAAACTCACGTAAAATTGTTCATGAAATTGCTGGAAATTAATGACCAGCCCCTCAACACACACACACACACACACACACACTCATGCTGTGTGTCCTCATATTTCCTCTGTTCTTTTCACGTATATTTCTTCATAAACCTAGCCGTGTAATAAGAGAGGAAAGCTTCCTCTTTCTGGCTTCACAGCTTCTAAGCCACTTTTTTCATCTGTTATTTCCAACTCACTTATGTTTCCTTCCTTGAGACCCAGGCAACAAGCTGACATTTTTTCCTTGTCTCTAGGCACCTTTTTTAAGAACATGTTTCCCCGCCGTAGTATTGTGGGGTGTTTGGTTTTGTGTGTGTTTTTTTCTGGTCTCATCCTTTCTCTGCTCACAGCAAGCACCTCCTCATCTGCCTTTGAACATTATTTTAAAGAAAATCGCTTTGCCAGCCTCCTGGAGAGGTCTTCTTAGTTCTTCCCTTTTATGCCTGCTATCTTTTATGAGGTAAAAGGGAATAGAGTAACTTTGGTGGATGGACTTCATAGCATTAACTCATAAACTTCAAGGGACACCCACACTAAATTCATGCTGAACTCAACGTGCCTTGGTTTTTTGTGAACAGCTCCCAGGACAGAGGATGCATCATGGGGAAACAATCTCAAAGCCTTCTTCAGTGTGCCAAGTCCTGTTCTTACATGTGTTATCTATGTGCAGCTGCCAGTCAACACCCAACTCACTGCTGGCACTCCTTAAGCACCCACTATTAATAATCATTGTCATCATGACGATTTCAGTTAGAAGATAAAATTAGGTGATGAGTTAAAATCTAGTCTAAAACCTCCATTGTCACCTCTCTATCACAGTTGCACCAAAAGAGAAAAATAAGACATCACTCCACAAGATTAGGATTATTTCTGCTCATGAAGATATGTGCTTCTTTAGCTGAAAGAAATATTAATATGGAGAATTATTATTTGTGAAAGACTGAAAAGATCTGCTTTCCATTTTGAAAGTTCTTTCTCTTATTTCAGTAAAGCTGGTATTTAAACTTAGGTCTCTGCCTTCAAACCCATCCTAATCTGCCCTTCTATGTTGTCTCACCTAAGAACCAACACTCAGCTTATTTCTTTTCTTTTCTTTTCTTTTTTTGAATTGGAGTCTCACTCTGTCGCCCAGGCTGGAGTGCAGTGGCACACTCACAACCACCCCAGCATCGACCTGCTGGGCTCCTACTATCCTTCCGCCTCAGTCTTCCAGGTAGCCGGAACTACAGGTGTGCACTACCACCCCTGGCTAATTTTTGATTTATTGTAGAGACAAGGCCTTGCCAAGTTGCACAGGCTTATCTCGAACCTGTGGGCTCAGGCAATCTACTCACCTCCGCCTCCCAAAGTGCTGGGATTACAGGCTAAGCCACTGAGCCCAGCCAGCTTATTTCAATGCACTAGATTTAGTATGTTTTCATATAGTGTAGCATTTTTGACAAGGGTTTGGTGTGTGACCTCACAGCACGAGGATCTCAGAGTTGAGAACTGTGAAATGAATTTATTTACTCTCTGAAGATATTAAACATGTAAACAACAAAAGTTGAAACCAAAAATATGTTGATACTTGAAAATGCCCTTGGCCTCCCCCCCTCTCCCACCACCCGAATTGGAGTCTGTCACCCAGGCTGGAGTGCAGTGGCACGCTCTCAGCCACCCCAGCATCGACCTGCTAGGCTCAGGCGATCCTTCCTCCTCAACCTTCCAAGTAGCTGGAACTACAGGCGCACGCTACCATGCCTGGCTAATTTTTGTGTTCTCAGGCAATTCTCTTACCTCAGCCTCCCGAGTACTGGGATTACAGGCTTAAGCCACCGCACCTGGCTGCCCTTGATGTTTTAACCTTAATGATCCATTAGGAGAAACAGACAAACAAAGAGACAATATTTCTTGTAGTCTTACTTTTCAATATATGTAGCACTTCCTGAAACTCATATATCACACAAATAGTTAACCTGACTTTCTGGTAAAATATCAATAATCCCTAAATTTCAGAGATGAAGAGTCTAGACTTTGGTGACCCTTCTAGAATTCTGTTTAACCAGTATTTATTTTGTTTCAAGTATCCCTTGCATCAGATTGAGATACCAGAATTTACATGCCCACTATTGAATAGTTATATTTTCAATTTCATTTTCCACTAAGACAGATTTTGTTCTTATCAATATTGTCCTTTAAGTTTTTCTTGTAAATTCTCAGATTCATATAAGATAACATAACAAATGATAGTTCTTGAGAAAAGAACTAGTTTAAAAAAACTAACATTTCCATTAGAATGAGGAACACTAATTTCTAGGCTCAGAAATGTTCCTCAGAGGGACAGATAGGCAAAGAAAGGCTTATCTTAGATTTTCTCAAAAGCAAATGAAGTTACCATATGAAAGGGAACATAGGCTTACCCTTCTGTCTCATGTCTTTTGAATTTACTTTAATTATGCAATTTATCCAAAAAGAGGTTCTGTTGAGATCTTAGATGGACATTTGTCAATGAGAGTTACCATTTATGTTCTATATGAGTTTCTTACGTGAGTTGGATTAAATTTTGTTTAGTGATACACTGGCAATAAACACAAAAAAGTTGAGTCACTTCAAAATACCACAAATTAAAGTATAATTTCTTCAGGTAGGTTCTAGAAGGGTGTCATGGTAATAAAATATCCTCTTATGACTAAGAGCCCAGGCTCTAGAGTCTTTGTTCTTTTGTTTGTTTTTAAACTCGTTCAACAACTGCAGATATCCCGAAGAGGGATCAACCTTAAAACTAGCTATCTCTAGTTATCTAGATATCTTCTAAAAGATATCACTGACAATACAGATTGTCAGAGTCCTGTTTACAACGGAGGTAATACCTTATGCTTCAATTCTTTTTCTTCTGATAAGTTATTTTCTATGGTGAAAATAGTTTATGCATGTATATCATAGCCATAATATTAAAACTATAACCTTACAGTGAATCTCTTTGTCACAAAAGCAAAACAGGTAAGAATGATTAACTACATGTGAGAGTATTAAATTATCTGGGAGAGATAATTTTATGTCAGAATTATAAGGTCAATGAAGTGTTAAATTCTTTCAAGACATTTTTACATTCTTTATGCTTTCTAAGCCTACTGCTTAAGAGAGCTTAGAAGCATACCTTTGATAACAAACAAGACATTCATAATAAACAAAAGACTATTTCCCTTTTACTTATCCTGCTTTGAAATTAAAAAAAGGAAAAGAAAAAGGGAAGAGATAAATAAAAAGAGAAGGCGAGGCTTTCCAATCAAGACTGAAAATGAATATTAGTTATCACAAGATCTCAAATGCAGGCTTTTATTTGCCCGGAAAAGGTAAATTTCTGAAATATCCCTGTCAGCAAGTATTTATAAAATGGATGACTGTTGTTTCAACTTCACTGTATTTTATGGAAGCTCCTGGACTCTGTTATTGGTTTTAATATTAGAACCAGGAAAATTAAAAACTCTGTTTACTTAGATTCCCTTCCAATTCCGTTGCAAAGGCCTAGTGTAGCTTGGGAGTTCACATGGATTTCGAAAATTTGTTATGTTCATTTTCCTTTATTATCAGCCCTAACAAAGAATGTTTATGGTTCCATGTGGGTTCTTCTGTGAACACTGGTTTTTTCCTGTGCAAACTGCTTTATACAGCGTACTCTCTGATACTGTCATTCCTAGCTTTGGTGAGCTATGAGTTAGGCCACTTATACTGTACAGGAAGGAGTAGGATGGAACAAAAATTCACCAACAATGAGAAGCCAGGAAAGAAGCAGAATCACATAAAATCTGGGTCTAGAAAAAGGCCGGCACAGCTGGACAGGGACGAGTCTTGGCAAAGATTAGACTGATAGCTTCATAGTTAATGGCTCCCTGACCTGAATGTGAAATGTCACCTGAGGCTCCAGAAGAGATGAGCTCACTTCATATTTGTCCTGTGTTTTTCTTTTATAGCAAACATGAAACTTGACACTTGTATATCTAGTGTCTCTCTTCCATACTAAATCCCAAATCTTGTTTGCTCCTGAATTCCAGTGCCTAGGACATAGTATGTGTTCAGTAAACACTTGCCAATGAATAAATGAGTGAGAAAGGGAGATAGAGTATAAGTGGAAATAGCAGCTTTTACATTTCCTATAGGCTATGTATTTTATACATGATTTTCATTGAATCCTCACAGCAACCTTACAAAGTCCTGTGCCTCCATTCGAGACAAAAAGTTCAAGTTCAAAGAGATTTAGTCACTGAAGGTCTTGCAACTATAAAACTGGCATTTATTTATTTATTTATTTATTTATTTATTTATTTATTTTGAGTTGGAGTTTCACTCTGTTGCCCAGACTGGAGTGCAGTGGCTGCTCCTGGCCACCGCAGCCTCGACCCACTGGGCTCCAGCGATCCTTCTGCCTCAGTCTTCCAAGTAGCTGGAGCTACAGGCACGCGCTACCACGCCTGGCTAATTTTTGATTTATTGTAGAGATGAGGTCTCACCAAGTTGCCCAGGCGGGTCTCAAACCCGCGGGCTCAGGCATTTCACTCACCTCAGCTTCTCAAGGTGCGGGATTACAGGCTGAGCCACCGAGCCCAGCTGTTAAGCTGGCATTTAAACTTGGGTCTCTGCCTCCAGAACCTGTCCTAATCAGCCATACTGTATTGCCTTACCTAGAACCAAGCATTCAAGTCTGTTTCAATGCACATATATTTAGTGTATTTTCCTATTGTGCAACATTTTTGACAGGGGTGTGGTGTGTGACATCACAGCTCAAGGATCTCAGAGTTGAAAACTGTGAAATTAATTTACTCTCTGATTTAACTGAAGATAGTAACATATACACAACAAAAGTTGAGACCAAAAATATTTTGGTGTTTGAGAATGCCCTTGACATTTTAACCTAGTAGGAGAAACAGACAAGCAAATGGACAATATTTAGCAATACTATATGATAAGCCCTATTAGAGGGTGTGAGGCAGGATACCTCACCCAGCTCGGCACACCTTTGAAGGAAGAGCAATTGTTATGCTGGTATGTTGTTCCAGAGCCTGAAGCCTTCACCAGGGGCAGCCACAGGGCAGCATCCCTGACACCCGCACAAAAAACCATCAGCAGCTCAATCTGCAGGCCCAGGCAAGGCGGCCCCAGCAGATTCAGAGACCAGCAGGTCCAGAAATTGGGCCTCAGGCAAGTGAGAGTAACCTCAGGGACTGATCAGAGCACAGTGGGACGGGGCTGAGCTGCATGTGTATGCCCGCGTGCTGTGTTTGCTGTGCCAAGTGCGTCTGTGACTGTGCGACCTGGTATAGGTTTCTGGAGAAGGGTCCACTCCACTGCTGGGCCAGAAAGCAGCCAGAAAGTTCTGACACTCGCGTGAGGTCTATAATGTGATGATGCCTCATGAGATGTGGCATAGTGCACATCCCAAACACCCATTTATGGAGACAGCCCTGTCTGTCCTTTGCTGGATTCTAGGTAAAATGACCTCTTTGCTATTTCTGAAACATAAAAAATGACCATGCCTCAGGGCCTTTGCACTTGTCTTCTTTCTGCCTGGAATGCTCTTTCTGCAGTGGCTCACTTTCCACATCTCTGCTCATCTGTCTGTCACTTTATCAGCATGCCCTTCTCTGACCACTTAATATAAAACAGGAGACCTCGACCCCCACCACCTATGTCCCTCTTACCTTGCTTTGTTTTTTTTTTATAGCCCCGCCATTTTTTTCTTTGTTTATTAACTGTTCCTTTCTGTAAGACTCATTAGGGCAGAGACTTTATTTCATCCCCTGCAGTTTTCCTAGTGTCTAAAAAACTGGGTAGCACATCGTAGGCACTCAAGAATCATTTCTTTTGAATTGATAAATTTATCTTCCTGATTCTAGCACCTGACATATAGTAAGCATTTATACATTATATAATATAAATTTATATAATACATGAATATATACTACTTAGCCCAGCATACAAGGTCTTCACAGTCCAGGGTCTACTTAGCTGACACCCCCATCATCTGCCATCCCGCCTTCCTGTCTTAAGGGCTGCCTCCCACTGACCTCTTCTCTTGCTGTGACCAAGCATGTCACACTCCCATACCTGCCTCTGCACGTCTTCCTTCTTCTTTCTGTCTTCTGTATGAAATGTCCTCCTCCCTGGCCCCTCCAGCCCACACCTAGCTGCCCTCAAGTCAAAATTGCTGTTGCTGATTCACAACTAATACACTAGTGGCTCTTTTCACTAATGTTTTTTCATAATGCATTTAGAACTTGGTTTCATATTCTGCTGTCGTACGTTTCACCCCAGATTGCAGTTATACATGCCTTGTCCAGTTCCTCTCTCTAGCAGTGTTGCAGCATGACAATGTTTTACTCATTTGCCTTCACATGGTGTCAGATAATGATAGAAGGAATGATGACTTCCACTTACAAGTCTCTTATGCCCAGCCCCCATGCTAGAGACCTTTTGTACCTTCTGTCAAAGCCTCAAAAGAGTCTTGCAAGGTTGGTATCATGAACACCATGTTAAAGGTTAGGAAATGAAGGTTCAGAGAAGGGAAGTGGCTCAGCCAGAGTACCAGGTTGGTCCATGCCAGAGCCACACTTCAAACCCAGGGCTGCTTGTGAGCAGAGTCCCTGCTCTTTCCATGATTTGATGTATGTTCCTCATGAAGGAAAGACCACACTTTAAAAAAGAAATATTTCTTCTTGTATCCTTTCTCTTTTTGGATGTATCTAGATGTAATATACATTACACATCTCTTGAGAAAATGTTTATTTGCTGTATGCCTTTCTCTCTCTCTCTCTCTCTCTCTCTCGCTCTCGCTCTCTCTCTCTTGCTCTCTCGCTTTCTGACTCTGTCTCTCTCTCTCTCTCTCTCACACACACACACACACACACACACACACACACAC